AACAATTTGCCCATCTGATTCCACTGCTGTGCTCAGTCTTATCTTTTTGCCAGGCTGGCAGTTTATTGGGGGTATTATTAAGGCTGCCCTCAAACACATCAGGGGGGGAAAAATGCCAGGAACACGAATGGCTATGAGTTACTTTATAACGGCCGGAATGAGTTTCCTGACACACAGAACAGATTTCCAAATTCTTTCGGCCCACAAAAAAAAAAAAAAAAAAAAAAAAAAAAAAATTCACTGAAACTCTGAATATTCACAAAGAGGTGTTGCTTTCAAGGTAAAGATGTTTTCATTCAATAGAGAGCAGCTCCCTTCTGCACACTGTTTATATGGCACACTCAGGCAAGTTTATAGTGATACTCAGGCAAGACCATTGAAGCAACAGCTGTGTTTGTGATCTTACAGGGTTGTAATAGTCCAAGAGAAATACGTTTACTTTAAATTGCTTTCTTGCTGTACAGATCTATACTGCATTTTATAACTGCCACCTCAGTGTTTTCCAGTGGTGAGTACTCGCATGGTAAAAATGAGTGCCTCAGTTGGAAAGGGAAATAGAAGCCACTGACAGCTGGAAAAGAGGAGAGGAGAGGAGAGGAGAGGAGAGGAGAGGAGAGGAGAGGAGAGGAGAGGAGAGGAGAGGAGAGGAGAGGAGAGGAGAGGAGAGGAGAGGAAAAAGAAAGGGAGGAAGAGAAATAGAGGAAAAGAAGAAAAAAAATGGAAAAGAGAAAAGGAGAAGAAGTGAAAAAAGGGAAAAAGAAAAATGAAAACAAGGAGGAAAAAAGAAAAAAAAAAGGGGGGGGAAGAGAAAAAGAGGAAAAAGGAATAATGCAAGAAGAAAGAAGAGGGAAAGAGAAGAAGAGGAGAAAAAAAAAGAAAACGAAATGGTGAGAAGAAAAAGGAAAAGGGGGAAAAGGAAGAAGTTAAAAGGAAAAGGAGGAAAAGAGAAAAAAAGAAAAAAAAAAAAAAGTAGAATAGAGGAAAAAAGGGATAAAAGACACCCGCTCCTCGCTGGCTGCCGTAAGCCCCGCTGCGCCCGGGGGCAGCAGTTCTGTATCCCCCCCCGGCTGCGGGGACCGCCGCCTGCCCGAAGCGAAGTGAAGGAGGCGGCCGCGGGCGGCTCGCGCCTGTGTCCGTGGGGCTGTGCGTGCATCTCGGCAGTTATGTGCTGCACAGATGGGAGAAGAGGAGTACGTGCCTGTCTGATGTTGCGTGAAGAGATTACGTTAGTGGAAAATACCGGTTTAATAGAATCATATATGCAACTGGTGCGTTTGTAATGAATAGAAAGCTGATGCCGTTAATGCAGCATTAACGCGGATTCAGCCCCTGGCACGGCTGCTGCAGCCACCTGCAGCGCGCCGAACCCCGCTGCGGACGGGGCTGCCACCTGCAGGCGGCCACGGGCTCCGCAGTCCATTTTTAGGCATTTTAGCAGGCATTCAGTATAGGGAATTCATTCAAATTTCCTCATTTGCTCACAGAAATAAATTGCTTTAAAGGGATTCTCTAGAATTAGAGTTGAGGCTGGATAGGGCCCTGGACAACATGATGTAGCTGCGATGTCCTTGTTCATCGCAGGGGAGTTGCAGTAGATGGCCTTCACAGGTGCCTTCCAACTCTAAGGATTCTATGATTCTATAATTCATGCCACCATAAAACAGTGGGGCAATCAAGCCAACAGACTGAGTCTGCCACTTTGCCTTCAGTTGGCCAAGCCCAAGTGAGACAAAAAGCACTGAGTGCTGTGGGACCACTCAGGTGAGAGAATACACATCAATAAAGGGAATCTTGCAGCGATATGAGAAGGCTGCCTCTTAATGTGATCAAGCAGCTCACTAAGCAGCATTTTTCAGGGAAGGAGTCTTTGCTTCCAAACAAAAGCAACAATTTTAACTTAGTTGTGCTAAGGATGGCAGCAGGCAACTTCAGATAGACTTCTCTTTTTTCTGGATCCCTTGGTCCCTTTCCCTCAGGATTATACTGGGAGAAGTCAGCTGGCCATCAGCAAGAGGTTGGGAATGTGTCAGAACTATGGGGACCCTTTTAGCTTAAATGGAAATGGGTATAATCACTGAGTTAGCCATTTTAACAGAATACTTCTGTCCACCATTATGTTGTTTGGGGGTGCAGCGTCACCTGAGGCCTTTCTAAGAAGGCAAAATAATGTACTATTTGAAATGACTGCAAGCTTCTGCTAGCAGGCTGTGTATGGCCAGGAGAGCTGAACCATGTCTGAGGCAGTGTCACAGGCAGTGTCAGATGTTTCAGTGACAGTAAAATATCCAAAAGATCACAATTACATTTGTGTGTGGATGCTACTAAGGTTTATTTAAGGATTTCTAACATTACACAATGACCTACAATTATTTAAATACTACTTTGCTCAGAAAGGTTGTAATTAGAATATGGCTGATATTTATAAGAAACATGATTCTACAACTGTCTCTATACACAAAATACGCTCTAAGAAAGAATATTTCACTAAGGGTTATGAAGTAAGAGAGAAAAGCAATATCTCATCTGATATAACAAATCACCTCTCTGTTGATGCAGCTACATAGGTTGACAGTCTAGGGCTGCTATGGGTACTGTGTTTGTTTCTTTGTCAACAGTTTCACCAGGATTGTTCCCCAGGGAGAAAAAGAGCAGGATGAGCTGCCTTCCAGTCCCAGCTGCAGCTGCAGTAACAGCAGCATTTCCCCGGCGACGTTCTTTGTGCGTGGAGTGAACCAGGCAAAAGCCTCAAAGGGGAAAGCATACGTTTCTGACGAGTTGCCAGTATCTCAGAGATGCTTCTCAAGCATGAGACTGTGTTTCAAAACACAAACTGATAATTTTTTATTAAAAGCCCAGAACAGCATCCCATTGTGTCTTCTGGACATTAATAGAAAGGTTTTGGCTTGCAGTTTTATGGTTGTATGACATCATCTATCACATCTCTTTTCTGTACAAATATGTAATGAAATATTTTCACAGAAAAGAATGAGTTACTGATTTCTAAGGCCGATAAGAAGATCTAACAAATCACTGTGAGCCTTAGAAAGCATAAGCTTTATAAATTCCTTCTTGAGCCAAGCTGATTAGCCAGGAGAAATGGAGCCAAAGAGAGCTCTTGGCTCAGAGTGCAGCCATGGAGGACAGGGCTCTGCAGAGTGGCTGTGCAGAGTGGGTGGAATGCAGCTTAGAAAATAAAGCATTGTTTCCTATATCTTATTCTCCATTCTTATTGTGTCCAATGTGTTCTTTGGCTGCAAGCATTTAATTCTGACACACCAGATTTTTAATGAGCATCAGTCCACCAAATCTCAATGTCCCTAACAGAACACTACTTCAAGTGGGAGTCTCATTTTACAGAAGGTTTTCATCTGTTTGCCTCTCACCTTGCAAACCCCATTCATGCTCTCCATGCAAAGAAATGAATTTATATATCAAACATGTGCAGGCTCACAATAAGTTCACAAGCAACACATCATGCTATTTCATACTGTTACTGAAACAAAGTCATAGACTGAGAACTAAATTACAACACTCATTCAGATTAAAGGAATCCCAATATTCACGTACTTATTTTCAGCTGAGGAAATAGGATCATTATTCACAGGCAGCAATTTAGACTTTGTTCCTGCCTCATTAGTCAGAAAAAAAGGACATTTATCTTAACGATGGGGAGTTTTTCAAATCAATGAACCTAGTTTTCCAAAGAGCCAAATTTCAGACAGCTTTCTGCTGCTCTCAGACAAAATGTTCATAGGGGAAATATCCACAGGGTGTTTCAGAGGATGTATTGAATGAATGTGTGATTTGAAAAATGCGAGATTTCAGAAAGTACAGTTTAGTGAAAGTGTGTCCTTTAATAGAAACCTGCAGCTGAAAGGAAGCACTTGAGCATGGGGTTAGATAAGTACAAATATGGTGACAAACCCAGGCAGTAGGTAATTAATTAGAGGGGTCTTTAGTTCCTCAGGGCGGAATTCTATAACTGTGCTTCATACATTCCTTCTTTGGGGCTGGAAATTTATCTTCTGTCATGTAAACTCTGTTAGCATTTTCCAAAAGCTTGTATAAGACCTGATTTTTATCTGTTAAGTACCAGCATACTTTGGCATAACTAATTCCATATCTTCTTCTCCTTAAATGTTTTTTCCCCTGTGACTGTTTTGTTCTGGCTTCATTTACATGGAGAGATGGCTGAAGGAGATGGAGTGACTTCCATTCAGTTGCAAGAAGAGATTTTCTCAAGAGTCAGCCTATAACTGCACCAATCCTTCTACCTGAACTTTTTTTTCTTCTAGGATTCACAGATTTCACACTAACAAACAGGTTATCTCCTTGAAGTTTCAGTCTCTGACAGCAATATAGTCCATGAAAGTTGTCTTGGTTGCTTAATATAAGATAAAGCATTCTGGGGCTACTGAGAACAATTTTGCATGGTTTGTTTATTCTAACTGATGATACAGAATCATAGAATCATAGAATGGTTTGGGAGAAATCTTTAAGATCATGTAGTTCCAACCCCCTGTTGTGAGCAAGGACATCTCCCTCTAGATCAGGTTGCTCAAAGTCCCATCCAGCCTGGCCTTGGATGCTTCCAGGGAGGGGGCATTCACTAAACCTTGTTTAGGTCTTCTAAGATTCCTAAAATGTGAGTGACGTTAAACTTTTTTTATGGCTTTTCTTAATGCATGAACAATAGTGTATTTTTCCTGTGCTTTGAAATGATGCTCAGAAATTGAGAATTCAAAGAGTGAGAAATGAAGTCAAGCATCTATGCCTGGTTTTACTGACTATTTTTGAGAGCTCAGATAAGTATGTAAGCAGCATGCTGTCACAAAATGAGAGAGAGGGTTGTGGCTGAGAATCAGTGATTAAAAGACAATTATTTAGAATTATATTGTATGCTGAGTGATGTCAAGGATTATACAAGAAGCAATTTTTCTGTCAAAGAATGAACGAGCTTAAAAATCGATTTTACCGAAAAAACCCAGTTTGATGGCACTTAAGGTTTTGAAAATATTATGGCTTCAATTTTTCTTCTTCCGACCTATGACCTTGTCCCAGCTGTTGTAGACCCCCAGGTAAGATTGCAGGAGCAGTATGATTTTTCTGGGAATTAAACTGATGAGACAAACACCAAGTTAGCCTCACTTAAAAAAGATAATAATAAAGTGAAATAAAAATGCACTGTACTAATATAAATTCATAACACATGCACATTACTTCTCACGTTTGGCAATAATGCATTTGGTACTCCCATATTAGAAATGGGGAAAATAAATACAAAACAAGCAGTTTTGTGGAAAGCCCAGCATTGGTGGGGGTAGTTACTGTAAGCAGACAGTTGTAGTCCAGGCAGTGCTCCCAGCGTACCATCCCATGGAAATTTTTAATTTCTACATTGAATTGTAGCTTAAGAAGTATATTTGAGACAGAAGGTGTCAGAGGAATTAAATTATTAAATTTAATTCCATTAAATTATTCCATTTAAGTCCATTAAATTATTAAAAACTATCAAAACTGTTTCTTTGTAACTGATTACCTATAGCTGATTTGACTGCAAGGATGCTAAGTAAAGGAAGATTTTAACTAAACCACCTTGCTGATTTTGGAGGCATATGGGAAAGGAAAGAAGGAAATGATAGAAGACGGGAAACATGTTCTTACGTTCTCAAACCACAAAGGTGTAAAGTTGGAGGCATAAACAGATACATCCTTTCCTTTCGAATTGCATCTATGATCCTGCAGGCTACATACTCTGGCTCGTAAATAGGAAGTAAAATTGGGTGCCTATTGGAACAAGAAATACAGTATTATGGAATTGTAATATTTTACTTTTGAGATGTATTCTAACACAGAAATCATTTAATGCAAGAATTTTTCTCCTCCTCTTTAAATAGCCATGGAAAGCAGTGTCCAATCCTGCTTGTTCTGCTTGTTCAATCCTGCTTCTATAATCATAGCAAATAGAAAAAAGTTTGGTGATGTTGCAAATTTTAATGACAGATGAATAACTTTTGTGCAAGGCCAGCTCAGACCCTCAGAAGTTAATGCCCACATTGTCTGTGGCATTGAAAAATTCCAGCTCATCTGTGGTTTATGATGTTGTACGCATAAGATTTCAGCCCTCTGCACACCTCTTTCTTATTTTAGATTTTGGGTTGGCAGCTAAATAAACAGGATTGGGCCTGTTTCCAGGCAGGAGCTCTGCATAATACATGCCTCTACAGGATGATGAGTGGTGGGAGCAGGAACAGAGTGCTGAAAAAAACAAGGATGCTTGCTATTCACTGCTGCAATGTCTGAATCAGTGCCTGCAGCCTCTCCTGTCACTAGAACAATACAGCAGCATAGATACTTATACCACAGCTGTTCTCAGAGGAGTACAATATCTGCTAATACTGGAGAACTGTTTCTGACAGGTGACAAATATCCTAGCAGTCATAATAGTAATGACAGTACCAAAATTACATGGGGCAAAGAACATCAGCAGTGCCCAGTCTGCTGGAAAGTGAATCTGCCTAAAATATTGCCACGTATCCCTAACCATTCCCTGATTTCAATGTTGTTGCACAGTCTCTGAGGCATGTCAGCTATTAATTGCAGGCAAACTTTGGATTTCTTATCAAAGAGATACAGTTGTGTGTGTGCCAAATACTAAATTAAAAACAAGTCAACCTTATAAGAGCTAGACTGAATATAGCATTTCTAGTGAGTAGAGATGACTTTTTACTTATGAAACAATATATAATGTAAGTTTTACTTACTCAGTTTCAATACCTCTAATTAATTCGGTATTCACAAAAAAGGGGCAAACAATTGTAGTTTTAATGCCATGTATTCCTGCCTCATCCAGTTCTGAATCAATGGCTTCCATCATTCCAATGATTGCAAATTTACTAGAAGAATAATCTGAAGCAGAGAAACAAAGAAACATACAAAATATCTCAAAAACACCATAGTATTATATACTGAATCTAATGCTTTGTAATACTACTTACAACCTTGTACTAATTTGTTATGACTTAGAAGATTTGAATTAGTGTTTTAGGGACGCTACACATGTTGATGATACTAACTCTTAATGTCAGTGGTCCTGACCATGACTGGTGTAGATGTGTCTAAGGATAAGATTAATAATTTCCTGAAGACTTTTCCAGTGAACTGTAGAGGGATATAGGATGGCCTTACTTAACATTTTATATCCACTCCCAGACACTCATATGCAAGCCAGACATTGCTTTAGTTCAGAATGGTCTTCACTCTTTGATATCAGATACTATGTGCCAGTAAAAATTATTTCTCGTGGTACAACCTAAATACCCTACTTACAAATACTGCTTCAACACATTATTTCTCCTTCTGATATTGCCTTGCAACTATGAATACTATTTTATTTGCCTGGGAAGACTGAATCCTGTCTAATTTTTGCTGCTTGATGGACACATTGAATCTCCTTCCTTTGAGACAATAAAAACTTGAACTTGCAAGGTCCTGTGTAGTGTGACCTACATTGGGCCTGATTTTATCAGGGGGTTTGTTCTTCTTCAGAACTTGCCTACAGGAGGTAGAAACAAACAATCTAAACATGCATAGCTGCTGTGTATAACGTTACAACACTTGGATGGGCAAGTCACAGGCCTACGTCATAGGCCTTATGGTTAAATGGTAAAAACTAGACTTGTCCCATTCTCAACACAGAATCTGACCCAATGATAATAGGTGGCAAATATACACCAAAACAAAACCATCAACTAGGAGAAGAAAGAAAATAGTCTTATTGATGTGAAATTCACATTCTCACAGAGTAACTTCAGAGCTACAGTCAGAAAGGCTTGAGAGAGTCTGAGCAGTACACACATGCTGATGAAATAGTCAGGATGCAGCAGCCAGCTCTCCTGAAGGAAACAGCTGAGAATACGGAGCTGTTACATAGCTTAAAACACAGTTAATTTGAAAGAATTTTATTGCAAATTCTGCCAAGTGTCTTCTGAACCTGAAAAACATTTTCCAGCTAGGTGTATAGTTCCAGGTATAACCCACATATTTTCAGGACTCTAAACATCCACCAGCAGAAAAACTAGTAACAGAAGTTGTTAGACAACCTGTAGGCAGGGCTCCCTCCTGCTGCACGTGTACAAGCTTCTTCTGCAGAGATAAGACAGGCTGCAGTTAGCTAGTAAAATCAGCAGTGACTCCCATGCCAAATGGACAACACATCACCATATTCCTCTTCCATATACCACTACTTGCTGATACACCTTTCTATCTCCATGCTCTTCCTGAGTGCTAACACGTCGGTACAAACAGCTTAAGCCAAGCATTTCTGAGATCGTTAGGAGAGGATATTGCCACAAAGACATAATTTTTAATAGCATTTGTTGACACTAACCTGCCAATCTGTAGGTTCCCAAGAGCCCTGCTGCACTAGCCATGGTGACCAGGTGTCCATGATTGCAGGCGATCATGGCAGGAAGAAAGGCCTTGCAAGTCTGAGAGACACATAAAAAATACCATAACAGATAGATGCGTTAAAACTATTGGATTCCAAATTAGATTTTACAATTTGATTTACTTTCTGGAACATAATTCTGCAAGGCACCAAAGTGACCTGCAGTCTCTGCAAGAATTCATAAAGGAGAGGAAACATTTCTTTGAATGACAGGTCCCCAGCTTCAGCTGTCAGCGTTAAAATTGTATTATTAAAAACGATGAAGTTTTTGTTTTCTCTGCGCGTGGATCCTCAGTTCGAGTATTTTGACTATTAGTAAAGATGTGAACACCAGAGGGAGCTAGAAGCCAACACATCAATGGACACTTCAGCTGGCTGCAAGCCCTGTTTGTAAACTACTTCCTGGCTACTTCTACTACTTCAAACTGCCGTGATGGTTAGTACTAATTATCTAAGGAGGACGCCAGTGTTTTACGAGACAGAAGAGATGAAAAAAGATGGGAGCAGTTACAGTTTTCTTTTCAATAGCTGAGTTGTACTGCAATGTGTTCTCCACTGCAGATGTGTGCCTGGCTCGCACTTTGCCAGTGAGGGGGCCCACAGTCGCTGTCCTCCTGCTCTGTGTCTCTTCAGACCTGCCAAGAAGAACATCTCCCCCAGCACCTTTGTCTCCGGTATGTGGAAAAATGAGGCGCTGTGGGCTGGAAAATGATTAGAGGATTTTGCCTGCAATGATTTTCCACTGAGGAGTGCCATTTGGTGAGGCATTTTGCAGCACTGTGTTCTTCCTTGATGCAGGCTGCGCGCTCAGGCACATGAAGTAGAACTGCAAGAGGGGCAAGGGCAGCACTCCCTCACAGAGACACATAAGGGACAACTGAGACCCCAGATAGCATCAAATTCCCCCAGAGGAAAGAGAACAAAGCAAAGCAAACACATACTATTTAGATCAGTTTTCTACATACATCAAGAAGACACTGACTAGGAATGAAAGCACAACCTGAAGTCTGACACAACACAAACAGCATGGGTATGTGTCCTTAATGCTAGACAGTGCTGTCTTATGTCTGCAAGCATCAGGAGTAGAAAAGTTAGCAGCCATAGCAGTATTTTCAGCCACAGCTGATACAGAAAGAACGTGTTTCACAATAGAGGTGCACAAAGACTTTGTGTTTAGCACACTGAACAGGTAGGTTTCTGTGAACGTTACTGAGAGACGGTGGGACAAACTGTCAATGTTGTGTGTATCCAACTACAGGATGATTAAAAAAATGAATTCTCCCCAGTCAAGGCCCTTGCCACCCGTTTCCAAACCAGGTGTTCCAATCTGCCTGAAATATTTGGCTGTGCATTTCAGGCCCTTGGGAAAGAAAAAAATACATTACCCAAGCTTGAGACAGGAAGTTGACTTTCAAGGTTTTTTCAAAAACATCATCTGGAGTGTCAAGAAACTTTGTGGTGTGCAGTATGCCAGCATCATTGATTAGGATAGTAACATCCCCAACTTCTCTTCTAACCTGAATTTAAAAAAAATAATAATAAAGAAAGAAAAAAAAAGATGAACAAAAATATTAGAAAGTGTACTTGCCTTCTGTGCTTCATTTATGATGGCAGTCTAGTGACAGTTACAATTGTTTATGCTTGTATTGGAAACATAGGTACATAGGAACTGTTTTAGTGTGCCAGATCAAAGGTCTTTGTAGGCTCTCAGCCCTTGGCTCATGGGGGAAAGCAGTAAGAAAGGACAAGGACACTAAGGTCTCCTCCAGTGCACGCCACAGGTTTTTGCATTCTGCAGCTTAGGATCCTTCTGAGCCAGATATGGTGCCTGTATCTTTCTATTTAATATATGCTGATGATTATTTCCTCCTCCCCCCAACCCCTGAATTTGTCTGATTGCTTTCTGAACTCCAAAATATTTCACAGGAGCCTGCAGGAACAAAACTCAAGCTGATTATTCTTCACTATGTATTTATTCAGGTGTCTATTTTTTTTTTTTTTTTTTATTGTTATCATTTCTATCAGTTTTTTTTCTGTATGACAGGTTTGTAGTTTCTTGGTGTCCTCTCACTTAGAACTGGCGTATTTGCTATTTTTGCTCTTGGGTTTGAAACCTTTTGTAAGCAATACATCACCTATGCATTTGTAGCTCATGAAATGTATATCAGATTTCCCTCAGAGTTCCCAGGTCGAAACTTCTGACTCCAAAAATCTGCTAATATTTTTTTTATCAGTTTTTTTCTAAGTTCTCTTCCTTCAGTACACTGATTTGCTTGCTAGAAATAAAGCTTCCATTATAGGAATATTCCATTATAGGAACATATCTAAGTTATTCTGCAGTGAATTTCTCAAACAAAACCAAATAAATTAACTTTTCTGCTATTGGTTTATCTCCTGTTTCCAAGCTGAAGTCTTTTCATATTACTAATAAAAAGTTACATGTATTTCCAGTGGTAGAGGATGCTCCTGGCTGAATAGATCTTACTTCAAGAAAATAAAATTCTGGCCCCTATATGCCTGTTCAATTCACAGAAATACCTGAAAAGATGTTGGTAGAATTAATAATAATTCAACACCTTCACATCAATTCAGGACTCTGAAAAAGCTCTTTGAGTTTCTACTTGTAGGTCAGTCTGTGCATGTCAGAGTTCTCACCACTAGTATGGACGCAACAAGTTCTGCAGGTTGAGCCCTTTTTAATGTGTCTGGAGGCTGAGAACCGTCTGAATGCACAAAACAGTTTGAGTCTCTGTTAAACTGAGAACAGAGATCACTTACTTCAAAATATACACCATCAATGGAAAATTCCAGCAGAGATATTACTTACATGAACTTAAATTGATCATTCTGATGCATGTCACTCCAGGAAGCAGTCAGCATTTATGGCAACAGGGAATTAAAGCCAATTTAAAATGTTATTTTTTAAAAGATATTTGATCTTGGTGAACTCTTAAGTTTTTTTTTTTTTGTTTGTTTTGTTTTGTTTTGTTTTGTTTTTCTTTTTTCTTTCAAGAATAGCATTCTGGAAGAATGGCAGTTTGATTTTAGTATCATTTTGAATAAGGATCAAGTATCACATTTGAAGTGCTGATCACAAGTTGCTCGACTGATCCTGCAACTTGCTGGGAGATGATAATGTTAAGATCTTGATATTAAGAATGTTGAAATAATTGGAATTCTTTTTATGGACTGCAATTGTAGGAGTAATAATAAGAGACACACATGGTGAGGATAACCTGACCTGTAATACTGAAATAATTTGCAAAGATCTTTTTCCTTGAGCACTGTGGGTCAGCAGAGGCCAGAGTGTGTTCATCTCTGCAGAAGTGTTATTATGATAGATACGTCCTTGATCACACCGTGCAAGTAGTACCATGAAGCCACTTGTGGTTCTTAACCTCTACCACCAACTGCTCCAACAGAAATTATTTTTCCATGTAAAGCTGGTCATGTGTGCCCCCAAGTGCTGCTAGCAAGTACAACTAAAAGAGTACTTTGAGCATGAGGGCTGCAGTTCCGGATACATGCAGGGCAGGGGAAGGGAGTGACCATGAAGGAATGGCGGAAACAAAGCATTAGGGATTGACCACAACTCACATTCCCTCTTCCCCTGTCCTGCTCAGGGGAGGAGATGGAACAGGTTGAATGAGGTAAGGTGTCTGCAGTTTGCTACAAAGGGACCTCCCCCCTTACAATGTTCTATTCCTTTTTTGTTGTTGTTTCTTGACATCTTACAGAAATTTAGAAGGCTAGCAAATTCATTCATAGCGTTAATCTCTGCCATATACCACACTTCTAATATAAAAGAAGTTGCCACCTTACAAGGAATACTGGAAATGTGTAAGTCTCAACAGAACAGATTAAACCCAGTTCCTTTACAACAAAATAGTTTAAGTTCAATCTAGAAGTTACTTGTCAATAAGAGAACAGTCATCATCGTACATGATTACCTCCCGTTACTGAATGCATAGTTTCTAAGATTCCAGGTCTAAAAAAAGCAGAAAACCACAAGCCAGAAGGAAAATTAGAAGCCAGAAGCTGTAACTTACCTTTTCTGCCTGTTCATAGACCTCCTCCCTATTGCTGCAGTCACAGTAGTAGGCAAACACTTGCTTAGCTCCATTTTCTTTGGCTAATCTGGTTGTTTCTCTGTTACCTTCTTCATCAATGTCCCAAAGAACCAAGGTTGCTTCCAGAGGAGCAAAATGTAGGGCAATCTGCCTTCCAATCCCATTTGCAGCTCCAGTAATAAGCACTATTTCCCCAGCAAAAGACTTCTTGCATGGAGGAAATATGCATTGGATGAAACTTTTGAAGAGTATATACACAGATAATGCCAGGAACCTCAGCGTCTTCAGGATGCATCTGAACATGATTTTTCAGGCACAAAGATTGCTCTTCTGTTTTAAAAATCTACAGATACAACATCACAATGGCACTTCAAAGCACTGAGATATCGCCTAGGAAAAGAAATTGAGTTTCACAGAGCAATTTCAATTACATTGTTCTTTTGCATAAATACAAAATATATCTAAAGACTTGTTTTTGCAAAAGCTGGCAGCTTCTTACCTGTAGGATTAAGATAAGTATCATCTGCTAGATCCTACACTCCAGATGCTTCATTCCAGAGTTCTCAATATTATTTCAGATTTTTAGGCTTGTTAATATGCATCTTATACATGAATGCCGTGGCAACAGCTATAGAGTAGTTTGTTTTCATAGTGAATTGATTTAACTGAAGAAAAAGAGGACTGAAAACACTGGAATGATATCAGCCTTACAAAGAACAATTTTGCTCTTTAGCATAAAATGAGATTTGCTGTTTCATAAATCGGGCAATAAGAATGTATCCATGCAGCATATATTTTGCAAATGACATACCATATTTTTATTTGTGAGCAAATGACCAACATGCTGGAAAGCATGACCCTACAGGTTAGAATCTTGGTATTTTTTCTCATATTTTGACCAGACCTTTTCCTGTACGGCACTCAGTAGCTTACACATCCTTTTCATGGTAAGCTTTAAATTACTGAAATATATTGGTTGCATGCTGTCAAACAGGCAAAAAAGGTCTAAGATCCATGCTGAATTTTGTATTTGCACAAGTATTCCTCAAAACAATGAAATGAAAAATAGTTGCCAGACTGAACCGTGCAGTAACTGAGAAAAACAAAAATCTTTGTGTCCCCAGAGAGTCACTTCTAGGAATCATCCAGGATCAGGAAGGGCAGATGGCTCGGGCCTTTCCCCAGCTGATCAGGCACACGCCATGCCACCTCCCACAGCCCGTGTGCTGCCCAATAATAGACAGTGCGCCAGCACTGCCGAGGCTCAACTTATTAACGAGACAGCTGTCTCAGATGGCTGTGTTTTCAATTGGAACAACAAAGCTCATCCCTAAACCCTTCACCAGCCTCCCACCTGCCCTCAGCCACCCCAGAGTGGCCCTGTCTGCTGTGGTGTACCCCCATGTACCCCTCACCCCTCTGTTGCCAGGCCCTGTCCCTGTGCCCAATGCTCACCGCTGCTGCCCAGCTGCCTTGTCTGCACCCTCTGTCTGCTGTGCCCTGAGACCCATGGCTCAGCTAAGCCCTGCCCACCTTCCTGGGCTTGGCTTGGTGGGTTGGGAGGAGATGGATGAGCCTAGGGCAGGCTGGCCTGGTGCTAGCAGTGACAATGAATATCTCTCATCCTGTCCTAATGATACACAAGCATGCTGTCACACAGCCTTCCAGGCCCAAAATGCAATGGATGGCCCTGAGTCATGGCATCTTGCTCAGGGCTTGGGGACAGTCCTGGTCAAGAGCTTGGAGATTCCTTTCCACTTGCTGCCTTTCCTCCCTCTACTGTGGACTGGCTGTAGGTGTGAAATGAAATACTGCTTCTTTTGTAACGCAAATGACTGATCTCCAGCTTGCCTGTTCGCTGGAATGGGATTAAAAAGGGGGACGCTAATCATAAATATCTCCATGTGAAACAGCAAAACTGACTGTCATTGCTTCACCCTTTCAAGATGAGAGTTGTGGTTCCTCAGTTTTTCACACAGATTTAAGCCCACAATCCTGCACTGCTGTCATGTCACTATTTTCTTTTTTTTTTACAAGAAGTGAAAGACTGAATAAAAATTGGCATTTCTACTGAGCTTTCTCACTTGTGCTTTTTTTTGTTATCATCTCAGTTTGTCATGATCACCGTGACATTTTCCACACGCTGGTTATATAAAAAAGCAAATAAAGAGGGCAGTACTTTTTGCACTTTGCATTTTGAGTAAGTGATACCACAGGTCTTGCTCACAGAGAAGCTGTTCAAATGGATTTGAAGAGAGTCACAGATCGCTCTCATTCAGATACTTCTGTTGCAAATGCAATTCAAATCTTAGATTACAGCTTCTGAGTAGCCACCGGACATTCTTCATTTCTGTCACTGAGAGTAACAGAAATATATGTAATTTGAAGTCACATTGATAAGTATGGCAGAGAGTTCTACTCTTTCACTGCTAACACCATTTATATAGGAGTTTTGTACTTAAATGCACAATTAGTTGCTGCATATTCTGTTTAGATCGCACAAAAAGGTGAAACTGAAGTACAGTCTTTAGGACTGAAAGCAGAATCTCAAAGATTCAGTGCAGTGTAGTTCCCAGCAAGAAGCTAATGAATGCAGCGTCAGTGGGTAAGCTAACTTGAAGCACATGTTCTACTGTAACCAGCAATTATGTAAGAAATGCAACCGGTTACGGGACAGGAACGTGAAGTGATTCAGAGCTGAACTCCCTGTTATGAAACAAACCAGTGGAGACACTTGTTTACTGGGACAAGGTTTCAAAGCAAACTGCATCATTAAGGAATTGTGTTGCACCCAGAACTTTGCAAGCCTAAAGGTAACTGCGGTATACCTTTTAGAAAGCATATCCTTCACAAGTATGCAAACACACAGCTTTCCTGCTCTTATACTGACCTGACCATCCAGTTGTCATTCCATATGTAGTCAAGACTGGAATGATCACAAAATCGCAGAATTGCAGGGGTTGGAAGGGACCTCAAGAGATCACTGAGTACAAACCCCTACTAAAACTGGTACCCTATAGTAGGTCACACAGGTAGGTATTCAGAAGGGTCTTGGATATCTTCGTAGGAGACTCCACAGCCTCTCTGGGCAGCCTGTTCCAGTGCTCTGTCACTCTGTCATCTGATGATTAATAACTTAATTAATACCTAACTTAGAGGCTTCAGTGTAGTAAGGGAGGGTTATACAAGTGACAAGGAAGTTTGAGGATACCCTGCATTCTTAGAATAGGTTGCATTCCACTCACCACCAGGTAGACTTGATTGCTTTTTTAGAAACTGATTAAACATCTGGAAACCATGAACACGTAAGGCTTTTTGTCACCATTTGTCCCAGTTTTTCAAAATGTTGAACTTTGTTGTCCAACAGAAACTTATTTTTCTGGCTGCTGTATGCATGGCAACTTCTCCACAGTTTCAGACTTCCCTTTTTGTGCAGTAAACTTCAAATGGCTTGTAGCAAAAGCTCCAGTTCATAAATAGTTGTAAAAATACAATAAATAAAGTTTCTACAATATTTGACTGCATTAAAATACAAAACAAAACAAAACAAATAATGCTGCAGCCAGTGAAGCCAAGTACACAGTTCTATGAGAGGTGCTGATTGACTTTCCTGTAATTAAACTTCAGAAGGCTAGCGTTAATTTTTTAATCTTTGTGTTATTGAGAAGGTGAAGATGTTTATTTGCAAACAGGTGCAGTGAATGGTAACAAGATGTATCTTGACCTTTGAGCTGCAATGTACGTTCTAACTAAATATTAATAATGAATAATGATTATTATATTCTGCAGCTCTTAATGCCTGGTTATTAATTATGTATCAGCATATTAGTAAAGCATTCATATATTATAAGTATTTAAAACTTAAAAATGTACTGCCAAAAGTAAATTCAAAACAAAAAGGAAAAGGTAGAATAAATTAACAAAGTGGTTGATAAACAGTCATTTTACTGGACAGCTGGATGACTTGCATTTGTCTTTTTAGAACTTAAGCATTCACATGCTGCAAAGTGCTGCATCAAAAACGTGCTTTGATAAATATAGACAAACAAAATGAAAACTTATTTTTGCAAACACTAATACTGCCTTGGATCTCTGCTGAATTTGTGGAAAAATATTATTTCAGACAGTCAAAATTATTTTTATGTCAGCATCAACAAGTAATGTTGTGCAGATCACGTCATAAAGTAATATGTGTTCATATATTTGGAGATTAAAAAAAACCAACTTAACAAATATGCCTGAGGTGAACTATTAGTAAGGGCTGGTAAGAATCACAGAATGGCCTGGGTTGTAAAGGACCACAATGATCATCTACTTTCAACCCCCTGCTGTGTGCAGGGTCACCAAACACCAGACCAGCCAGGCTGCCAAGAGCCACATCCAGCCTGGCCTTGAATGCCTCCAGGGATGGGGCATCCACAGCCTCCTTGGGCAACCTGTTCCAGTGCATCACCATCCTCTGAGTGAAAAACTTCCTCCTAATATCTAAACTCAACCTCCCCCATCTTAGTTTAAAACCTTAAATCTGTCTTGTAAATCTCCCATCTTAATTTAAAACCATTCCCCCTTGTCCTATCACAATCCACCCTCATAAACAGCCATTCCCCCTCCTGTTTATACGCTCCCTTCAAATATTGGAAGTTCACAATGAGGTCTCCGTGGAACCTTCTCTTCTCCAGGCTGAACAAGCCCGGTTCTCTCAACCTTTCCTCATAGGAGAGGTGCTCCAGCCCTCTGATCATCTTAGTTGTCCTCCTCTGAACCTGGCTGAAATGCTCCACGTTCTTCCTGTACTGGGGGCCCAGGCCTGGACGCAGTATTCCGGATGGGGCCTCACAAGAGCCAAATAGAGGGTGACAATCACCTCCCTGCTGGCCACCCCTTTTTTAATGCAGCCAAGAACAGAGCTGGCCTTCTGGGAAAAGGAAAAGGAGCTTTCAGCAGGCCATTAGTGTTCAGTGATATTTGTGGAATGAAGTTAAAATGAAAAAGTCCAGGTCAGTAGGACTTGAACAAGAAGTATATAACATCGGTCTGTGGCTGATTTAATAGTAACTCAGGATGGGATATAACGTAAAATATGGGATGCCCTTATTACAGAGAATATTGACAGCCTTAACTCCCTAGCTCTTCTCCAGATATTTTAGCTTTCAGAAGGGTAGAGAAGACTCAAACTGCCTTCCCAGTAGCATCAAAACATGCTTCTAATCCATAGAGGTAAAAGGTGTCTTTCTGAAATTTCACCAGACATCTAAGGCTTAACCTAAAAGTAATCAAAGTAGTGGTTTTATTGATTCATTACAATGAAATTAAATCTTCAGCATGAACTTAATGTATGACAGGTAAGTATTTTTTTTCTAAAAGCTTTGACCAAAAC